GCAGACATTAGGTTTCATATTGCATATTATGAGTCACGTAAGTACAGCGACAGAGATGTAGAGATGGTGGAGAAGCTGTGTACCTGAGTATCTGTAAACCCACACTAAATCTAAATTGAATGTTACAAAGCAGCGGTAGACAAAAATAACATTGCCAGTGTGAACATAGCGTTTGCATATAGAGATGTTTTCCACATTAAGTTAGCTAAAATGAAAAAAAAGAAATTAAACCGTTAACATTGCCTGCAATTTCTCATCAAACTCTAAAAACGCTTGCTGTCACACTTTAAATCACACTCGTTTGACTTATTTTGAGGTTGCATGTAATTATGTTTGGGACGTGTTTGCTGGAATTGAGTCTCTAAACCTAGGATTGGAAGCCACCTGTCTCCCCACTATAGCCTGGCCAGCCTCCTTATGGTTATCAGGACTACCATTGCTCCGCACCTCCTTAAGCTCCTTCAATTCTAGGCACAGATGCTTTCCTAAGTCGGACGTGTTTGCATGGGTTTGAAATATCTTTTAAAGACGGGTTGTTCATGGGCTTGCCCTCACTGTCAACTACGTAAGCGACATAATTCCGTAACTCGCTCCGTGCGTCTGCTTTGTTGACATGCTGTGGAAGAGAGCTTGTTCTTGTAGTGTTGTCTCTAGCTCTGTGCTCTGTCTCTCCCGTTCTGCAGCATAAGCCACGCCCACTTTCCCTGCAGGGAAGGGGAGCAGATCCGCACTGTGTGTGCAGCACACTCTCACCGCTCTGCTGTCGCTGCAGCTCTTAATAAAACACTGTCATTCCTAAAGTATCAATACCAGTAAGGCAGTATTGTATTGTTTTTAACAGCAAGGTAGTGCAATACCTTTCTAGTCTTCCCTTCTTATTTTGCACTCTCAAACTTACCGTGAGTAACCGCTAACTAAAGTCTTATTTACAACTAACACTAGTTGTTTCATATAATTAAATAGCATGCACGGACATATCAAAAACCCAGTCTTTAAGTTGACCAATTTTGACATTTACAGTAACTTGTTCTCAAACTAGTAGGAGGGGATCAGGTGTAGGTGAAAAGATAGTTCGGTTCCTTGCTATGTTTTTAAGATGGTAATGCACTGATTTGGTTAAAGGGGATCTATTAAATGGTATTAAACTTTAATGATTTAAGTTTCTGGCCTGGTTTATCATTTTTAATGAGAGAGAGTTTAGATGGGCACTGGCCTTAATTCTCTCATTTTTGTTGGTACCTCTGTTTTGTCTTTGTTTTGCTGGAGAAAGTTCTGGCATATCGAGTCATTTATCAGGGAGATGTAATGTCATTGGGAAACAATAGGGCTGTAATCAAACGGTGAGAGGGCAATATAAATTTGTGTATCATCAGCATAGTTATGTAAGGCAACATTGTTGTTCCGCAAAAGCTTTCCTATTGGTAGCATGCAAAGATTTAACAATAGAGGAATAGAGGAATCCTCGAGGAACTCCCTACGTCATCTTAACCTTCTGGGAGACAAAGTTGCCAATAGAGAATGGTCTAATCTAAATAAAACTGATAAATTACCCGAGTCAGAGTTAAGATGAGTGTCATTAGTCACCTTGACTAATGCTGTCTCAGTACTGTGGTTGAGGCGAAATCCAGATTAAAAGATATCAAAGCAATCGTTAGTCTTAAGGAAACTAATCTGCTGATAAACAACTTTCTCAGTGACCTTGCCTACAAATGGCAGGTGTGATATTGGTTGGTAGTTCTTGAGTACAGAGGAATCTAGGGTGCTCTTTTTTAGAAGAGGTTTAATAACTGCTGTTTTTAGACCCTAAGGGAAAAGTCTGGATGAAATTGATCAGTTAATGATTCGTAGCAGGTCTTTAGATAAATAACTGAAGCGTTCTTTAAAAAGTAGGCACAGTAGGCAGAGTATCTAAACAGCAGGTAAATGGTTTTAATTGTGAGAATTTTTTCTTGAGTATGGTGGTCAATGTTGTCTAATTCTGACAATGTAATAGGAGTAATTTCAACTGGATAAAAGGTACTATGCCGCCTGATTTATAGAGCTTTTATTTTATTGTCAGTATTATAATAATGGCTTGTTGTGTGCTTCTTAATTTATGTGGAGTACACAATAATTATTTTGATACAGTTTTTGGAAGGGTTGAGTAAGCTGTTCAGGGTGTACCCCGCCTTTCGCCTGATGTAAGCTGGGATTGGCCCCAGCCCCCTGCAACCCTGTACGCAGGATAAGCGGCTGACGATGGATGGATGGATAGTTAAACCTGAAAATAAAGGATTTCTACCTTTTCAAGCTCAAACATTTTATTTCAGCTGTCAGAGCCATCAAACAATGGGTGCAAATTTAGTGTGTTACTATTGACCTCTTGTTCAGTCAGTAAAGGAAATACTTGGACCATTATTTTGTATGTATGGGCTGTACTCATGCTCCTGGCTCACAGAGGGAGTTGACCTGACTGAAGGACTGGGCATGGCTGAAGGAGTAGGTATAGCTGGTGGAGTAGGTGTAGCTGGTGGAGTGGATACAGCTGGTGGAGTGGGTATTGTTGGGAGTGGGCATGAATAGTGGAGTGGGTATGAAAGGTGAAGTGAGATTGTGGTGGTACTGCATGCTGTGTGGGCCGGTGGGACATGGAGTATGGCCTCAGAGGTTGCAGTGACATCCAGTCGGACAAAGGTGGGTGTGATGTTTGGCTTGACATGGCATTCATAACACTTCCAATAAGCTGCATAAACGTTCTGGGCTTGTTGTTGCTCCTGTTGACTCTACACTCTTCAGCTTGCTGCTGTGCCTATAAAATAGTCTGAAAGGTTGCAGACTCATGCTGGTGGTGTCTCTGCTCATCTTCCATCATTGCATTAAGTAGTTTTTTTTGTTGTTCAGCCATACATTCTTTCATTCTGCTGTCCAGACCAATCTGTTTTCTGGATGCAGCCCCAGGGATAGCCCATCTCATTGCTGGCTGCTGAAATCTCTCACTGATTTCACTATCAATAATGCCCTAAAAATAGATGGGTAAACATTTTCATGGACTTTCATACCATCATAGTTGCAGACATTTTGGTAGGCAAACAACAGATGATTATGATTAAATGACAACTGTAGCACAAGAGCAAAGTTTGTGACAGTGCACCATATTTGTAGGTAGCGCATGGCATGTCATTAGAATCAAATTAATGGATACTCATTCATTTGATTCGATTAGGCTGTACTTATGTAGATATTCAGCTGATCTTCAAGACAAAAGGAAGAGATAATACAACAAGGTCTACACAGTCAGTTACCAGTTACCAGTTAAACCTACCTGTGGCTACCCACCCCAGAAAACGGTGAACTGGTACATGGTTCTAGAGGGTTCCAGTCCATCTACTGGGCTCACCACATGTCTTGAGTTAAAGATCCATCTGATCAAGGTTATCGTACCACACAAATTTGTCTTTAACATCTGACAAGCTACCACTTTTCTGTAAAGTGTCCGGGACTTTGATGTACTGTTGATGCATTTGAGCAACGCAACACTGCTCAATAGATCGCTGAGTTCCTATGCACCGTCTCTAATAAATGACAAATGTTCTCTTTAGCCCAAATATTCAGCACACACCTTACTTCATCGTGAGCTCAGGTCTGTCCCCTGCCAGATGACGCTTTGGCAATACGTTACTACTTCACCAGCCACAAAGACGGAAAGAGAAAACGTTTTTTAACCAATAAAATGACGATCGCACTCTTCCTGTGATTGGCTCAAATGGTATTCACACCAGAAATGAACCACTCCAGAGTTCACTTGACAGCGGTCCGACACCGCCTCTTTGTGCGGTTGTTTGGTCAGCCCATAGTCTGGTGTTCACACCAACTCAAACCAGCCTTAAGAAGGTCGGTGTGAACTCACCCTGAGACTGACAGCAGCTCCGGCCAAGAGTCTGACTCCCTTAAGAGGGCAGGTGGGGACAGCAGAGGCTTCTAGCTGGAGAGGCGTGAGTTTGTAACGTTATACATTCATTGAGTTGATAAATCCACTAGTATTTGTTGTTGTTAAGTTGGAAGTTATTTATTCCCATGTTTTGAACAAGACTTGTGTGATGTTATACTGTGCTGGTTGTTCTGACACATTCAGAATCATTACCGCTTGTTGTTACCATGGCTGCTTACTTTGTGCCCCTTGTGCATAATTTGAAGGCTCATTATTACAGTTTTGTATTTCCGCGGTATGTAACATCCTTTTACAACAGGGTTGTACTGTATAATGACATGACGTTTGTAGTTCCCCTTATGCTCCTCACAAAAGCAAAATTACATACAAAAAAAATTAAGTTATACTGTATAGGCCTACAGAAATAAAACTATTTTGCATCAGCCCTATTAAATCTGTTTTCCCAAATTCTGTGTATTGCATTAAATTTTGTTCTGGATTTTGCGTTTTACAACTTAAGCACATTTTGTTAACACAGGGGTAATGATGTGGCAGATGAATAAAATTTTAACAATTCAACAAGAAAATATAAAAAAATGTAATATCAATTAATTTGATGCATCATGCAAAAATGCACATAGAAATATTCAAATGTGTGTGCAATTATTTAGGGGGACAATTCAAAATAAATGTTTTGCAACAGGATATTAAAATACTATATGATACTACCTGACTACTGACTATTCTCACAGATCTTATGCAGGACAGCCTCTATATTGTGCCTGAACACACCATGGTAAAGGTGCTGTAAAAAAAAACCTGCTTATAATGCTAGGGGAAAATTATAAATTACATCCAGAACTGAAGAAGCTTCTTGGATGATGGTGAAACTGAGTCTAGTTACCCTTGGACAATTGTTTTATATTATTTTGACAGCTGTTACCGTAAACATATTTACATAGATCACAAAATTTGATAGCTATTCTTAATGACACAACATTTTTGTATGGTTGCACAAGAGCACAAGCCCCTACATTACAATATGAGCACAATAGAAGTACAGTTAATTAATTTGTCAAATGAACCCACATCATGAGGAAGGTTATGGAGTTTATTAGAAATGCCAACCAGATTGGAATCATACAAAAGCAGCACTGAATGCTTGTCTCAGTGACTGTTCAACAACCCACATCTACTTTGTTTACAGGGTAACTTCCCACACACCCCTCCCATCAAGCCCCTTTCTCTCACAAAGGATTACAGACTCAATGTTCCAGAACCTGAGTTGGTGATTTTTTCTTTTTGAGTCAATAAACAAATGTATGCAGACAAATAATAAACCTAAATCTATGTGTGTAGCTGTGCATCCATCTTCTTTCACAACAGCCCCAGTTTGTATTCCACCATCATGTGTGGCTCGCCCATCATTTCACTCTGGGCAGGATCTGCAAGATAACAGGACACAAATGGCATGTAGTGGTTCGACATCATATTCAGACAGTTGTTTCAATGATTTTGTAAAGGCACAAGTATCTCACCGTTGAGGATGTCTTCAAAGCCGATGGCCTCGTCACTGCCTCGCAGTGTATCCAGAGCCAGGTTTGAACTCGGTAAGAACGGCAGGCGCTGGATCTGAAGGGACGAGGGACAGACATCAAGAGTTATCAGAGAGAAGGATTACTTCAAGTAAAATTAAAACAACTGAGAAGGGAGAGGAGTGAAAGGAAAGGGGTTATTAGGGTTGGGGATTTAGACATTACCTGTCTAGCTGCCCTGTACTCCATCTGCAGTTTGAGTGGAGCATGAAGACCCTGGATGTTTCTGAGTGTAGAGAAATTCATCTTGTCCTGGTTCAGCTGGAACTTCACACCACAGAAACACACAAAACATTCAGTACCCATTTCCATCACATGTTCCTTTGTTGTTAAAACCCAAAAAAGAGAATATTTTCAATTTTATTTTCACTAATAAGCTCAATTTGTGGAAATTACCAAAAAAACTACATTACGATGTTACAAAGATGTGTTTAGCTGACATTTTGACGTCAGAGTAGTTAAGAAACATGTGTGATTAATAACATTAATTATGGCTGCACAGATACAATAAGTTTGCCTGGCTCACTGGGAGTTCCACCTGTGCCTTTTCATTCTACAAGTCAAAATGTCCGCGGATGACAAAGTTCCACCAACTCATGTTCAGTCATAAATGATTCTCACCAATATGGCTAACATTAGTCTATCATTACACATTAAAAGCCTTGCAAGAGGTGTCTGCAATTAGACTAGGGTTGAACGATTAATTGCATTTGCGATATTATCGCGATGGGATAAAACGAGGTTTTATCCCAGGTGACTCTGGTCACATGACGCCCAAGAGTAAAGCAGTCTGCAGACGAAACTCAACTTCGCACATTACGCTGTACCTTTACTTGATGTTGTACAATGGCCTTACGCTTGACAGAAGCTGACACAACAGAAACTTTAGTGTCACACAGGGAATGAAAGTAGCACCCTCCACCCAAGGGTAACTTGTTGGTGGTGGGTGAAATCGTCAGCCCATCCGCCACTTTGACAAACAGGAAAAATACACAACAGAAAGACACGTGTAGTAAGGTAAGCGCACTGTGGCAACCGGCGCCAGCATCACACACACAGCCACCAGTCAGCTCAGGAAGTATCTGTGAAACGGTGTTTCAAACCAAACACACACATTCGAAAGAGGCCCAGTCAGTCCTGAGTTACAGCCAGTGCAGTGTGCTGCTTACCAGCATCGGAGGCTGCGGGGGAGGGAAACTCCGGTGTCTGAGAATTACTAAGCTTGTCTATTAAACATGAGAGGCGTCAATTGGTTTTATTTTCATTGGCCAACTTTTTAATTGAACCTCAAACTGAGTATTTTTTGTTTGCTTACTGAGATGGACTCCTAGGAGATTTGAACTGAGATAAGGACTCATTAATTGGTTGTTGAACTGTGGGTTTTGTATCAAGCGCTTACTGTATAATATAACCCTATACTGTGGTAAACTTAGTTGTTCTTGTGATCTATACGTAAGCCTACCTGATGATATTATATCATAAATTTAATGCCATGAGAAAGATAATTTGAGAGTCAAGTCATATTATTAAAATTTGATATTTATTCTCCACCATAGCTCATAATAATAATTCATGCATGACCTAATTCATCATAACACAGGCCTGACCCACAATAAAGAACAATGTATGTTTAATCTAGCTAATATTGTGTTGGTCATACTATACACTGATTTACTGCTTGTCCATTTTGAATAATACAGAAGGTAAAGAGCTTAAAAATTTATTGCATATTAAATCGCAATATTAGTTAAAAAAAACAAAACAATCGCAATTAGATTATTATAATTAGAAATCATCCAGCCCTAATTTAGACCTCTGCACAGGTTGAAAGTGAGCGAACCTCTACTGGGAAATCATGTGAGGTCACCAAACTCTGAGCACTAACAGACTTGTTGCATCAGGAGAGTCAGGGACATACCAATCAATAGTAATAATAATAATAATAATAATCTGTACACACCCACACAGTCCTGAGGAGAAGTCTGAATTGTGTAGAAGCGCTAACTTCTCATCATTCATTTTTCTCTTACAATTCAGACTACTCACATTTTTTTCAGACAGCTCCAGCGAGTGGCTTGGGAGAAGCTCATTCTTCACACTGGTAAAGCTGTGTAGCAAAAGAAGAAATCCAACAAGCAGGTAAACATCATTATAATGTACATGTAATTAGATTTCGATTATTCATTTCATGAATAATGTTGTATGTGGTTCTCATATCGCGTGACATGAAGACTTCATAGCCTCTCTTCAGGTAGGACTTTCATACTGCAACACTTTGTAAAGAGAGAAACTGACAGGATAAAGTCACTAACCTGCCTGTCAGCTCGCACTGGTCCGTTACAGTGGGTTTACCATGAAGGCTTTAATACGTGTGCACTCCAAATGTAGGCGCGGCTATCTTATGCGCCTTCTCACAAACGAGTGACAGAAACAGGCCGTTAATGTTACCGTAGTTACCCAAGAATAAAAGTGGTTGTCTCGAGTCGAAAGTGTGCGAGCGTGGCCCAAAACACAACTTTAGAGGTCTGAAATGTAATTATGAGATGTGTAAAAAATATTTTCGGTTCATTTTGAAACTGTGGCGGAGCAAATTACTATGGTGGGCCGCCATGGTCTCGTTACTTAATGGGAAACACTGGCTGTTTCTAAACTACCTCAGACATATCTATCCATCATAAGTATTTTTTCCATCAATTTATTGTCACTAAACAGCCAACATATAACGTTACATTGATACTGATATATCCGTGATAAACTAATGTCACCCTGGACGATTCAGCTCCACAGTAGACTGTATTAGAGAGCAAACTAACACTGAAACCTCAAATAAGTAAATATGCATAAATGATGTTAATTCGTGCTTTTGACAAGTAACTTTATGCATTTCAATCTACAAACGCGACTGAAACTGGCTTTTTTTAACCAGAGACACAGCTGTCTGTCTGTAAGAGCATGGTAGGAGAAGGTATTAACGTTATACACATAGCATTGGGTTTCACCAGGTTATTTTATTTGTGGCATCGTCTCACCCGCTACGCAGAGAGTCCTGCACCCCATAAGCTCCCTGTGGACATAAGCCTGCCACAGGTACACTGTCTTTCAGCTGAGAGCGGAGTCCTCGAGTATTCTGTAACAAACGAAAACACAAATTCACCATTCATAATTGCTAACATTTAGTAAGCATACAACAGTTACAAACACTGAACGCTAAAGCCACCAACTATGAGCAAGCTAAGCGCTAACTAGCACGAGCTCGAGTGACTAATCAAATTCACAGCTAACCGGATTTCACAGCATATAAAGACAGAGGGCAAATATGCGAGGAAGTACAATTAATATGCCTTTAACCACATAAAAAATGGCACTGCAACGTTACTCAATGTGTTAAGATAGGATAAGTTATCGTATATAACAAGACAACCATAGCCTACCATTGTGATTCCGTTTCTTCCACTTTCCTTTCGATACACTTGAATATCCGGATGGTCGCATTTCCATGACGACATATCCGGTTCAAGCCAGCGTTGCATTGAATTTATTATTTAAAAAAGCCTGATAAATAATTCCTCTGTTTTTATCATACAGAGGATGCATTGTATACGTAGTTAGTTCGTTTTTAATGACCTTATAATGTAACATACATCACAACCACACAAACGTCGTGTGTGATTATTGTTAATAATTGTGTGTATCAGTTTTTCATAGCGAGGGGGTATAGCTCAGTGGTAGAGCATTTGACTGCAGATCAAGAGGTCCCCGGTTCAAATCCGGGTGCCCCCTCTTTTTCAACGTTAAATACAGTCTGTTTTGGCACAGGTAGGGAATCAGTCAACGTTATTCTGTCATAGTCACATTACGAAACTGTAGATACTACGCGAAATAATTTATAATGAGTTCTGTAGATTGTCTCATACAGGAGCTATCTTTGACAGTTATTTCAGAATCTCTGGCACAACATCACACCGACATACTAAACCACTAAAGACACAAGCCATTTCAAGATACAAGTTTTTATTTAAAATACATGACTCAAAGAAATAGGAAACACAAACTAAAGTTTCTAGTCAAATGTATTAATCAGATCCGTGTATTTTCTGTTTGTGCTCTTTTCTAACATTCAAAGCTGGGTGTCAAAAAGTCTAACACTGCTCATCATTTCAAACACAAGGACACGATGAGAATGCTATTAATGGTAACATCATGGTAGCTACAAATCCCATTTAGGATTTTTATGGGAAGAATATACTGTTATGTGTTTTTATATATTAGAAGCATGGATTTTAGCTGGCAAAAGAGCTCTTGATGTCTTTGGTTTGATATAATTTTGTAACAGAACATGGACTGCAGTAATGTTAATTCTTTACACGGGGATTACAGTTTTGAGAGTGAACGCTCTACTTCAGGACACACCTGATAACCATAATGATGAATAATGATCAAGTCCATCTCCTATTCTTCGGGTACTCAGCAACCCATGACAGTGGAAGCAGCTCCACAGAGTGCCACTAGCTGCCATTGACACCCCATTAACACCTGGTATAAAAATGTGATCTCAATCCAGATACCTCATCCGGATAATAATATAAACAATCTAGTTTCACCTTTGTGTTTACACCTGGTATTTTTATCCTCATTGAGATCGGATCTGTCATCCAGAGCAAAACTTGTGTGTGAGGAATTTGAAGTGGTGACAAATCCGCCCAGAATTTTTTTTGAAAGTGTGTTGACAAATTCTTAATTATTTAACCCCTCTTGTGAATTTTGGCAAACTGAGTTATTCCTTTTGTTGTACAAAAAATATTGTGTCCGTTTGTCCAGAGGTGTGTGCCTTGTTAATAGCAGATCAGCTGCACAGATGATTGAATCGCAACAGTTATTTCTTACTGTATATTATTCATTTCCTGCCCGTATTGCATTCATTTTTCACGCAGTTTTGTTGAATAACACATCTTTGGCTGCTTTCATGGTTCATGCATTATTACACAGTAACTAACGTGAACTTGAACAGCGGCCGTGTTGCTGGACTTTTAATCTTGATAAAGCATAGTAGCCTACATGTGATGGATGTCTGAAACACTGTGGTTTGCAAATGAAATCTACAGTACATACAGCATTTAAGGACACAATACTTTTTGAAGATCAATTTGAAAATGAAAAGTCCAGAAAGTGGGATTAGTGAAAATTCTGAGTATGTTGAGCCTGAGATGAAGGAAACTCTGGGTTTTCTGTTTCAGAGAGCGAGATCAGATAATTCCTAGATCAGTAACTCCGGCAACTGATGCTGTGAATCTAACCTCCTTGGGAGGAGGTTAGATTCACAGGATAAGTTGGAAAACCGTCAGTTTCTCTCTGACTCCTCCCCTCCTGTGGAGCCTGAGGCGGCTGTCTGACACACCTTTTCATTTCCTCATCCATTTTGTCGATATCAAAGCACATATCTGAACGCAACTACATTTACATTTACTCATTTGGCAGACACTTTTATCCAAAGCGACTTACATTTGAGGAACAACATACAAGATTCAACAGAGCATCAAATACAGATCTACAACTGACAATACAGCAATAAATAAGAGCTCATAGTACATATCACATCAATGGGGTAAATACCTAGAGAAGAAGTAAGAGTTAACAAAAAGTGCAATCAAAAACTACATCTTTAAAATGTTTTTTTTTTACCCAAACATGATCTTGAACATGACCGCTTTTATGATCAATCTGTCATCGATGTAAGGACAGATCTCCACACATCTTGATTTATCCTCAGCACAGAATAAAATCTATGTCCGTCTAACCGACCCGTTCTCAGTTGCACTGAAAACACTTACTGTGGGCTACATTACTGCAGTAATCACTGTTTAATATGTAGGCTAACCTATAAAACTGATCAATGAACAGTAGCCGAATCTTTCATATTGTAGTCGCACTGATTGGAACATTCGTAGTTATCAACTGGAGATAATGTGACTATTTCTGAGTGAGGATGACTGTGGTACAGCTGAAACAAACAGGCCTAAGGTTTAAAAGTGAGTTTTTCATTATTACCTGCTGATAGTCTGAATGTGTTTTGACAGCATTAATAAAATACGAAATAAGCCAGATTTTATTAATTTAAAATAGAAGTCTAAAACTTTAACACACATTTTTCACTGCAAAAAAATAATTAATAAGCTAACGTGCTGGGTGTGACTGTGACTTTACAATCACAGGTTCACAGGTAAACTGTGTCTTATATTTGATTTAAAGCTTATTTGCATAATCAGGGAGTTGATTGCCACCGGCATTCGAATGTAATGGGCTGTAGCACTTTATCATTCATTAAGGGAATTCCATAGTAGTAATAGTAGCCTAATAATGTTAATGTATTGATCCTTCTTCCACTCCTGCGTTTTAGAGCCAATCAGGGTCCGCGTTGGCAGCATTCATATTACTAGCTCCACTCGATTAAAATGGAGGCTCTGGCTTTATTTACCTGTTGCCATGGTGAATCGTAGTATGGGCGCTCCATTGATGATGGCTTTTTTTTCATCCCCACGCACGCGCTTCTATCAGGCTCAACATACTCAGAGTTGCTTGAACTTATTCTGATCAGCTGTTCTGGAACTGAAAATTTCCCACCTCAGGCTCAATCAACCCAGAGCTCAGGGATAAGCTCAGAGTTTGTTAAGCCTGCTTTCTGAAACAGGGCCCAGGACACATGTTGACGCCTTTACAGCTATGCAAAACATTTGAATGACAACTGCGTGTCTTCTGCTACTCAGAGGAACTGTTTAAAATGTTGATCAGTTCAGTGGCTGCAGCGAGATGTTTCCAGTTATATAATCAGTTTGGTCTGGGTCCATGTCACATAGATTCAATAAATTATGAATAAAATAATTAGATTATAGATTTGTTGATTTCTTTGGAAGTGGAAATTATAATTATGCTAGTTTGTGTCCCATATGTGCCCCCACAGATCCCATAATTGCTCCTCTGTGACTTTACATGCTGTATTCAGCTGCAGAATTAGCACATCGGCACGTGGATGGTTTCAGCATAAATGTTCTTATTCTGTTTTCCCTAACTGTCTTCATCAGCCACACCAGCAAACTCATGTGGCTCTAACCTGGGTGGAGATGAAGGAACATCTGTAAGAGGAAGAGAAGGACAAGAGACAGGGGCGAAGTAAAGTGAGTGAACAGCTTCTCATCTGTGTACACATTGTGTACTAACCTTTGCCTTGCGTACCATCCTCTGAGCATTAACAAAGTGTGACAAGACTGTAAGAGATTTTTTTCTAACTGCTCTTTGTCAGAGTTGAATTGCAAAATTGACTCGACAGCAGCAAAGATTTGCAGCCATCACTACAAATCATTATTTTTTACCTCTGCTTGCCTCAGAGGAGTGACTGCAGGCCAAATGTCTCCACTCCTCCATATATCTGCACAGGCAAAAGAGCACATCATTAAAATATGTTAACAAAATGATGAAGACTAAATCATTTTGACCTGGTGAAAAATAAAACAGAATGCATCAGAATGTCACAGCGGAGGATCTTACTCCTCAAAGCTGAGAGTGTTGGTCCAGGCCAGGAGCTCATCCAGCTCCCATTCCAGTACCTCTTCATCTCCCTTCTCTTCAATGGTGGCCATCACTTCCTGGGCTGAATTCCCCACCAGCGTCGCCATGTGTCGATGCGCTGAATGAGTCTGCAGACGACCATGGTTATACCTGTAGGTAAGGGAGAGAGGGAACACGCACTTATACACAGAACTGTGCATAACACTGCCACAGATGTGTATTTTTCCACATTTTGTAATAGCATGAATGGCACAAAAGGAGATTAAAATATATGGAAATAGTAAAGATGACTAGAAATAGTTACTGGTTTTGAATATTTATGTGCCAAAACAGTATTAACAAACAAAAATAGTCAAAAAGAATACAAATCCTTGAATTTGCTGTTCTGGTAAGGTTTATAGTGTTAATAAATGCTTGCGGCCTTTCTGTTTGTGAGATAGTCAGAGATCAATTAAAGAAAGACTAAGAAAAAATCATCACATTCTTCCTATCTGACCAGTTAAATTCATTAGTAATAAAACAAATTCTTACTCAGTTCATTACACTCAAGGGCCTTGCTGCTACAGCCTTAATTGGTACAGTATGACCAGAAGCTCATGGTGGTTAATGTTAGCCAACTTCACTGCAAATAATATTGCTGTAACAGATACTACAATTCACTTTATGACTCTTCTGTATTAAAGAGTCTCAAGAAGGAGGCCACAGTGGTCACTGTGTAGCAAAAGACTAGTTTTAAGGGACAAATGATGATGATAGAATGCTGACTGTTATTTTAGACCACACACACCTTCTTAAACTCACATCTGCTTCAGCCATTCAATTTTCCTCTTTTTCCTCCACCTGTCTACATCCTGTTGCCGCTGCAACCTGGAATGATGAAAGTCCATTTTTTTGTTTGCACCAATCTCTATGGGCTCACCCATGGGAGCAACCTATCAGAGAGACAAAGAAGCACATAAATACAGATGTAATAACCTCCACGTTTAGTGGCTAACATTTGAACCTATATCTGACTTTGTTTTTTGTTTATGTCTGAGAGCATTACGTTTTATTTATGTTAAATGTCCATCAAACTGTTTGATATGATAAAGGCAAAAATATTCCATAAGAGTGTTTTGGGCTGTTGTAGCTGTTTATCAGAATCTTTCCACAAAGGGCAAATTACACCTTGCATTGTTGGTTCATATTTTATGTTTGCTCTTTGCATGAGTATTGTCAGGGTTTGATTAGAAGTTTTGTTTGTTTCCTGTTTTTTCTTTTTTTTAATTGTCTGTCTCTGGTGTCCTTGTCTTGCTTTTCACCCTGCCTGCTTGTGTTTGTGTTTGTGTGTGTGTTTATTTATTGTTCAGGTTCCATTCTGTATTTGTCAGTCCATTGTCGCTTGTGTCCTGTGCATCTGCCCATAAACTCTGCCTTTATGTTTTTTATATTTAGATTCACACCTGCCTGTTCAACCTGGATTGTTGCTTTTTATTTGTCTGTGGACTTGGGAACTGTTGCCTTCCCTTGCTGGATTATTTTGCTTTTGTTTGGAACTGCCTGTTTGGATATTCATGGATATTACCTGCCACCACCTGTAAGTTTGTATCTTTTGTGTTTTGTTTAATAAATGAGTGAACTAAATCTGCCATACTGACTGTTATTGCGTCTGGGTCCAAAACTTGTTTTCCTGCGTCTGCACTCGGCAAGTATTTTGACAAATGACAGGCAAAACAGAGAATGATCTCCTACACGTTCTTCACCTTGCTACAGAAGAGCCTCCAGCTGTTGTTCTCCATACGCTGGTACCATCCCGATCGGTCCACCAGCATAAGAGGCAAGCCATTGTTGGTCTGCCGGGCCACAGACTTCTTAAGGCCTAGCTGGGTGTAGTCCTTTGGGCTGCTGGCACACACGTCCGCGATGGGTCGATGGGTGAAGATCTTGTAGTAGATGTTGGGAGGAAAGGTAATCTGAAAGCAAAGGCATATACAAGATGCTAGCAGGTAGGTCTACATTAACATATCCACATAGTTATTGACTGATTTACAACTATCTCCCTATTTAGCTCTCACCCCTCCGAGTCGAAATCTGATGAACACCCCAGCAGCGGCATCCAGCAACTCTGCCTACCGCGGGAAAATTAAGTTTTACCATTTATTTTATTTGTTGTTGTTGTTTGGGTTTAAAAGACAGCATCATTTCTGTTACCTCTCGAGGATTGACAGTTCTGAGGATCGTCCGTGGATCCTGATGGTTGCAATGGCTGATAAGCTCACTGAAATACTTGAAGATCTCTCTGTACTACAGTTTGTATAGGAAAAAGAGTTTATGTTTAGTTTATGTCTGTTTACTTTCATTCGTACATGTGCAAGAGTGGGTGTACCCACAGCAGCAGCACCCACCACATGTCTTTTCCAGGCCTTCTGAATTATTCTGGCCGCTATCTGCTGCAGTGTCTCCTGCTGGGGCACCTGGGGACCCTCTTCCTGTAAGCTGGAGGGATATAGAGAAATGGGAAGAGAAGGCAGACTGTCGAGAGTAGTAAGATTTTCTTTTGTCATTTACAGTATGTTTGTAGTCTTGAGGTATATACAGTACTTGTATTTTACTTAAGCTTTTTCTTTTTCTGCTACTTTATCCTTCTACTCAACTACATTTCAGAGAAAAATATAATACTTTTTATTCCACGAGATTTATTAATCAGTTATGGTTAGTAGTTATTTTACTGATTAAAATATTACATCCAAAACATGATTATTTTTATAAAAAGTGATTAGTTAATATACACTGATCTACCCAACAATATATAAAGTAGTTAAAATTAGATCCACCTCACCTGCTACAACATTCACATCAATAATAATAGTCCAATGATACAATAAATAATATATTAAAATAATAATATATATATCTCTTAAAGCTTTACTTTACTTTACTCTACTTTACTTTAGTTCATTTTTTACACTTTTTGTACTTAAGAATTTGAAAGGAGAATTTTCCTTGTAATGGAGTAATATTAAACTCCTGTCTCACTCTCTTTAATTTAGTATGGCATCTGAATTTGCACTCTAAAGATAAGCAGTGCATATGATGCGCACCTCTTACTGCAGCAAATGAAGGCTGTTTAAGATTGAATTATGCTAAACCAGGGCTGGACAACCTTAGAGCCTGGACCCAACATAGGATCATATAATATGCTGGTAGGGTCAAAAGAGTCTAAGACTGACCTATTAACTGTTGTGATATATAATTAAATAAATTTGTTCTTATGCCATTGAGGTCCCTCACTAATTAGTATACCACACTCAAAGTCAAATCAATTTCACAACTCTATTAGTTATGGGAACATTATAATGAGGTCCAAAAAAGGTTCAGAAACCCTGGACTAACCATTTTAATTCATAATGTGCCGGGAACAAAGTTCTAAGTGAAAGTAACATTATAACTGAAGTAAGCTAATGAGCTAGCCTTAGTTGAGCTAAACAGAATCAGCTTTATTGGGCACGTATTTAAAGATTTTGGTTATACACAATCATGCAAGGGTTTTGACTGTAGTTTTAAGTTGCTCTAAATAACTAACGTTACACACAGTTACTTCCAAGAGCAATTTTCATGAAGATGAATAGAAATAGATTTAACAGTTACAGCTAAAAACAAGACAGCAAAGCTAAATACGTTGGCGTTAAAAAAAACGTGCAAAACATAGATTTATATTTTAATTAGATTGTTTTTTGTATATATAATATAATATATATAAACAATATAATTTAAGCTACATAACTCGGTTTTGTGTGCAATAACGTTATAAACGATTTTACCTTAGTTAGAATTAAGATATTATCAGGACTAAAGAATGTTATGATGCATTAACTTACCACTCAAACAGTCAAACAACAAAAAATATATATATTACCTCATGACTTCCTGTAATTAAAAGTCTAATTTAAAAGCTGTCTGTTGAACATAGACAAAAGCTGCTGACGCGAGTTGACAAATTATTTCACATGGTTACCTGGCAACGTAGAGTGTCAGCATACCCTTTTCCGGTCCGGAATATTCACAACAAAAGTGATTTGAAAGCTTGTTTTTAAACATAACCTCACTGCCTGACTTCAGCAGACTACGTCCAAAAATGTATGCTTTTATTTTTTGACAAAATCATCAGGTAGATTTAGATGGAACATTAAATTCTGATGGCACCGTGACAAACAACAAAATAAGTTGTATTGAGCAATTATTTAATTTAAAACTATTTATGTATCAGCCTCTGTGCAGAACACAGACTTGATTTTTATACAGTGCAGGTCAAGGTGAATAAAATTATATTTTTACCTTTGGCCATTAGATGGAGCTCTTTAACAAGTAAAGGCCTGTAGCTTTTCTTTCGCTTTCCTCCACTCACACGATACAGCACTGTTGAGCAAATGAATGCAACCACTGTACATCCCAAATCACTAAGAATCTTTGCAAATGTGTAATGTTCTTTCCTCTAAACCTCCTGACCTGACGATCTTCCCCCCTAATCCTTTGTCACAAGTCTGTCAGTGGTATGCAGTGTCATCCCCAACCTGCGTATGATATCTCTCTGGTCATAAGCAAAACAGCATATGCTGGAAGTCTGCCAGTGTCTTACAGAGTAAGTAAACACCCAAAAGCACATGTTAACATGCAGTAGCCAAGCCACACACACATACGTATGAACCATGATCATGGATTTGTATTCTGTATTTTTCATTTTAACAATTAGAATGAGTTTTTACGGCACGTTGAAATGACAATAATTTAAGATGGCTGGTTGTAACAATAGCTCATATAGTGAGAGAAATAAAAAGAACACTCCATGCGAGCATTGCAGTGTTTCCTGATATTTTATAAAGGCCAGTCACTAACTTGTCACCGACCATGTGCAGCAAACCCAACTGAATCAATCCGGTTACAGCTGGATCCAGTCACATACAAATAGGCTACAAAACATAAAATTTCAGTTTCTGCCCCTTCAGCTGTGACAGTTTCAAAAATTTAAATCAAAGAGAAAGTGAATTCACTAACAGGGCTAAGCAAATACAGAAATCCTCTCTGTATTTATTTGCTGGTGGATTTTCAACTGTATTTTTCTGTGGCCCACCTGTGACCCAGGCGGTAAACTGTGCTCATAATTCCCAACTAAAACATTTGCTGATATGAATTGCTAACTAGACAGATGTCCATTATGCAAATATCTACACAATGTATTTCCTCACCAAAGCCTGTGGACATGTAACAAAACTCAATTCACGTTTATTGAAAGTAGACGTCTTTCTCTTATTTCAGTCTGTTTATTTTCTTCAGGGGGAATGCTCTGTCATCTTGACTACTAACTAGCATAGACATTTATATCAGACTGGTTTCCATGCTTCCAGCTGATAGAATATAGTTCATACACCTGAAACATAACTTTTGGATGTAGTGTAATCACATTTTGATTTCTGATTATTTTCTAGACCTTTGGCTTGAAGGGGTGTGACTGGCATTTCAATGCAGAAGAGGGGAAAACACATTTCTGAGTGTGTGATACAAATCAGCTGAGTGAAATGAGTGTTAAATTAGATTGGTTTGACAAACGAGTTTTCCTGTTAATACAGCTGACATTTCTGGCCTGTGTGATCATCGCAGCTCTCTTAATTTTGTTGATGGCTTAGTATTTTAATTAGTTTGGACTTTGGCTGCCAAGAACAACAGCAAGACAGACATCCAAACATCTAGTACTGGAAAGAGCGCAAGGGTGTGAGTCAGAGGGGCCTGATGAAAAGAAGAAGAGGGAGGTTTTTAACTTGTACCTAAGATTATCTCTGAGCAGAAGGAGGGTGAGGTAATAAGAAATATCTCATCTGCATACACTAAGTCTAAAGTGCTACTTAATTGACCTGAACACCTAAATTTAAAGTGATCGTCTCCTGTATCATTATGGTGACCCTTACCTGTCACTTACCCGCTGATAAGTAGACAGGAAAATGTGCCCTGTCCTTGTATAATAACACACAAGGACAAATTATATATTCATATCATTACCATGGGTGTTCCCACTTTCAATCCGTCCCTGCATTTTAAATAGGTGTGCCAAATTTAGAAAGTCTGTCTGTCACTGAACAATTTCTCTCCTTCTCGCTCCTCATCAGACACATACTGAAGCTGTGTCATTTTCTCCTTTGGTTTGTTATGTGTATTTCTGCACCGGTGTGAATGGCTTTTACCTCAGGGCCTGGGCGAGATGACAGCCATGTTGATGGGCTCTCTCTCAAATGGAAATGCTTTGTCTTTCCAGACCCTCATCAATATGGGAATGGCACAAATACAACATCAATCACTTTACCGAGTTCACGCAGTCAAGGGGGAATTGAATTCTTTACAAACGTTAGGGCATTTACGTCACCTCCTCAGCTTAAACAGTCCAACCCCAGTTCAGTCCTCAGGGCAGCTTGTTCCTCCTGCAGGGAAACTTGTTCCAATCACAAAGTGGGGTTCATGTCTTAAACAGTAGGGGGCAGTAAAAGACTAACACACATGTTCCATAGGTGCAAAGGCATGGGAAAACACAAGCGTGTTAAAGGGTGATCTTAAATCCTATACATTATAAAATATTGGTTCATATTGGTACAGTGTGTTTAGATAATACAGCCTATTATGCAGCCATTCACTCTGGCAGTATCCATCCATCCATCAGTTCATCTCTCTTTTAGTATTTCAAAAGTAAAATTGTTAAAAATAAGACAAATCTGCCAAGCTCATGCGTCATTTGCTAGGATCCGGTTGGACCAATCACAACCATTTATCTAATATAGGACGGGTTTGATTTGATGACAAAAAGAGGAGCGTCACCGGTTCCCTTGGAAATAAAAAATTAACTGAGAGGTTCCAGACTAATAATGCATTTACAAATTATTCTGTCTTAAAAGACAAACAATGACACATAAGCAATAACAATGATGATGATGACTCAGTACTCCTGTAAATATTATTTACAGAGACCAACAATTCCCACCATGAGCAAGAACTTGGCAACAGTGGCAGAGGCAGAAAGACCTGCTGAAAGCGACAGAAGGAGAGGAGAGGGCCGAGAAAGCACTGGAGAGGGAAGAAGTCGAGTTAGTAACATGTATTTATGAGATAAGAATGCATACAGAGAGAGAGGGAGAGGAGGAGAGAGGAGTTCAGTGCATCATGGGAAGTCTCCCAGCAGTCTAGGCCTATAGGGGCATAACTAAGTTCAGGGCTCATCTGAGCAAGCCCTAACTAGCTTTAGCTTGTTTTAGCTAGCTTTACCTAAACTTTATCAAAGAGGAAAGTCTAAAGCCTTCTCTTAAATGTGGAGATGGTGTCTGCCTCCTGAACCCTAAGTGGGACCTGATTCCACAGGAGAGGAAGAGAGAAGAGAAAGTGAAAAATGACACATTAATAAAGTGTACTGGAGTCAACTCTGGACATACCACTCAGTAGGAGCAGTAACTCTAGCTTACGGTTGCAGATTCAAAAATCATTTTTACAATTCTAGCTTCTCACATTAAATGCTTAAATACTCACAGTGGGCCTAATGCAAGAACCACTTGTATATCTTATGTGGCACATGATTTAAGAGAATTTGTGGCAATTTTCTAAAATATAGAGTTTCTCTTAGGTCCAGTCTTGTTGTACCAGTTATGTACAGACAGTCTGCCTCTCTCCCCTTTCTCATTTGACCAATTTACGACAAGTTTGTCCAGCTAAAGCTGGGCACTGTGCGAATCTGTTGATCTTGTAAGTTTGTTTGCTTCACTACATGTTTCACTACACGCTATGTGACTTTTAGGCTCACACTGTACGGATGACTTGACTGAATGTAAGCGCGGAACCCCAACTTGGTTATGTCCAATGGCAGTTCTATTAAAGTTTATTACTCAGTGTTGACAACAAAAGAGAAAGCCAGCATGACTTTTTGCAATTTTACTATGAGCGTAAAGTAAGGAGAATTATAAAGAATAATATGTAGCGGCTGGAAGATGCAGACAGTCGGGTCTGTCTGATCTGTAGTGAAGTTCATTTTCATATCATAGCACAGTCTGAGTCAAGACTACGGTTTTAGCTGCTCACTATAGTTGATAGTATGATCTTTTGACAGCAGCCTTGAGAGAAATGGGCCTGTGGAACTGCTCAGACTCATTAGAGTCCAGCTGACAGACCTGACCTCCCTCTGGAAAAAACAGGAATTCTGTTACATGCCCTCGGGAAGGCGCTACTTCACCCCATCAAGGAAAAAAAATGTCACCATGGGCCTAGACATGGGCCAGTAATTGTAAACCTTAGAACCATTGTGTATTTATTTATCATTTATTTATGTATTTATTTCCCTGAATTGTGTTCCCGGCTTGGTCCATGCATGGTGACATGCATTTTCTGCTTTGGTCTGGTGCTCAAACACTGATATGTTGCCACTGACAGGGTGTCTGAATAGATTGTGATTGTTCTGTTTTTGTTGTATGTGACTGGTAGACTGAAACTGAATTGGGGTAAATAAAGTTGTTTGAATTTAATTAAGTTCAAATTAATTCAGACTGCAAGACAGCCCACCAATATATTGGACCTGCCAAAAATCCAATAGATTGTCTGACAGCCAGATCATTGATCGTTCTTCCCAAATCCTTAGGATGAGAAAATGAAACTGTTGCATGAGGCCCATTGTTTCCCACACCTGAGAATGTGCCATATATCAAAAATATGTTTGAAGTAATTATAGGGAGTAAATGAAACAGAAAAACTGTAAACTAATTTGCAAGAGTAATTTGCCGTGCACCTGTGCCTGGAAACAAGAAGATATTTCATGAGGCAGTTAGGATGAATAATGCAGAAAAACATACTTTGAAATAGTACACAGGGCTCTGTGGTGTGTGTAGATATGTTTAGATGGCACATTCATGTACAGTGGCCATTATGTGTGTGCACAGTTTGATTGTATGTAAGCTCACATTGTACATGAGCATAACACAGCCAACT